TTACTATGCCTCTGCTGATGCCCAGGGGTGGCAGTGACCTCCCATGCAAGAGAGCAGCTCTGCACGTGGTGAGGCTGAGCTCCCGTGGCATTGCAGAGGCTCTCTGTTTGTTCCCTCCTCACACCTGCATCCCAACGAGTCCCAGTGCTCACAGTTGTGCAGCTGGGAAGGCTGAGCTGTGCGCCCTCCTGGCCTATCCATGTGTCCCGTGCAGCTTATGGGGCATGCTGGTGGGAAGAGTATCCTGGTCCTGCTTGGGGCCTGTACTCTAAGACTCTGCCATCCCATCTGAGCTGCCAGCAGTGTTGGGATATTCCTGAATTTTACTAGCTTCACAGAGATTCATGATGGAGCCTTGTCCTTTTCTGTGAATCCCAGCCTTTTTGGTGAGCTGTCTCAAGAAATATCTTCCTTTCTGCTCCACTCCCTGGGTTCTTCCAGATTGGACACCTCTTTCCAGATGAAAGGACATAAATGGCATGCACCAGTTCCAGTGCCATATAACTGTAGTGAATCAATTCACTGATGGTAATACACAGCTGCTTTTTGGCAAAGCCACAGATGCACTAGCAGAAGGGCCTCCCAGTGCTTCATGTGCTCTGTGGAATGGGTCTGCTTTTCCCTGTGAAGGCTTGTTCAGGTTTTTCCTTCCTTCTAATGAGAGTCCCGAAGGACTGTGCTGCAGAGGGGACACGGAGGGAGGGAGGGAAAGTGAATACCGTTTAAAGAAAAAATATTTCAGTATTCAAGACCTGCTCAGGAGGTCTTACCCAATCCAACTCCGGTGGCATGCTGTGGGCTGGCTCCTATGGAATAATGATGGACCCATCCTTGGGGTGCATGTGGCTCTCTTAGGGATCAGGTAGGGCCATTGCTGCAATGCTGGAGGGTAAGCAAAAAGGCCAGTGCATGAAGTAGTGGGGGAGCTACTCTGAATGCTCTGAAATGCATCCTCTTAGTTAGTATACCAGAAAATGTTGGCTTGAAAGTCCTTTTCTTAAGCTTGGCCTTTGTCAGTAGGAACAGACAATATAGCTGCTGTGGTTCTTATTTCTTTGGTTAATATTTGAAAAGATTTCCCATGGGATCTCTAAATGACTCAGTGAGAGACCTTATAGAAGGACAAAGTTATTTTTATTTTTTTCCCCTGAAGCCTCTAAGTAGGCAGGTTTTGCACAACCACACTCATTCTCTCACGGATTTCATTCATGCATGCTCTCACACCCATGCACTTGCAAGTACCAAGGCGTATGTCCACATGATCTGGCCAGCATCACTTGTGTGACACAGAGGACAAGAGGCAGTAGCTGCTGGGTCCACATCACATCCCTGAGGTTGTTCTTGGCAGGCAACAACAAAGCAGTTTGAGGTTGCTTTTCATACCCTTTAGGAGTTGATGATGTTTACAATTTTTTGCTTCATTGTTTTTTCTCATCCTTCATAATTCTCAGGCAATCTTAGTGAATTTCAGCTCCTCCCCTTCCCCCCACCCCAAATCTTGACATTTCATGACTCTGATCCTGTTCTTCATCTTCTTGATACCGTATGGGTAAGTCAGGTTGTTCCTCCTTATTTTGTTACTTGAATAAAATCGTGGATAGGGTGAGACTGGCACAATGGGCATGTGCCATTCCTTTAACCCATGCTGTGCCAGTCCTTCTGGTGTCTGCTCACTTGCTCTCACACACACATACACTCATATACACACACACACTTTTACTCTGCCTTTGTTCATCACCAGTTTTAATATTTCGGGTACAAATCACTGCATCCAGACTCATAAAGTAACATCTCTGGCCCCAATGCTGTTCTTTCCATGCCAGAATGTGTTTCTGTGCATCTTGCACATAAGTAGTGTGGTTACTTTGAGTGCATCAAGCAGCCCCCAAAAATGTTTTAAACCCTTGTAGGGGGCACTGGCTCTCCCTGTGGCAGGTTTGTGGGCTGTGGGGCTGCTGGACATTGATTTGTGCATTTCTGTAGAGGAAAGATGTACAGGATAGAGTCCAAAAGGAGGATTTCTACACTCTGCTTCTGTGTTTTCCAGACAGAGACATGTGCCATGCAATGAGCCTCATACATTCTGTGTCTCGTGTCTGTGATTTCTACGGGGACCAGGTCTGCACCACGCGTGTGGTGAGGCCATTGCCTTCCAGCTAAATCCCACTTCTGTGCTTGTAATGTCCGCTGTTACTGGGTGTCTATTGACAATGAGAAAGTCTGTCCCACGTGTCCTAGGCACATCTGATTTTACTGCCAAAGTACTGTACGACTGCTTTGCTACAGGTTTCCACTTGCCCATACAATTGTTTGCCTGGGACTTATGGAAATTAGGCACCTGAGTTGGACCTGCTGTTGTGGCTGTGCTGCTTAGAGTACAAATGCTGGGCAAGGAAGCAAAATCCTTTCTGTGGCTGTCTCTTTGCCCACACAAATTTTCCAAGTAGAGCAAACAGATGTATCTGGGAGTGTTTGGTACTGATGGTAATTTCCACGGTTTGTGTGTATGACAAGGGTTTACCTCACTCTCCATGCTCCACAAAGTTGTTGAGGCAGAAAATTTCACTGAAGGGAGGAACTGGAGCTTTCTTGCTGGATTTGCCACAGGTGAATAAAGGTGATTTCTGTCTTGCAGTGATTTTATCTGAGTCAGTACTTTGTCATGTGAACTCAGTAGAAATTGTTTGAGCCACAGAGACCTCAAGCCCAAGTGCATGGCGGCACCAGTGTGAGCATCACCAGGGTGCAGGGTGCCTCTCCGAGGGCTGGCACAGGGGTGCTGCAGTTGACTGATAGATGCTTCTAAAAACTGCAGTGCTGAGTCTTTTGTCATATAAAATTCATGCCAGAGATGTTGGAAAGTCAGTAGGCTGTCCAAATATGTAGAACATTTCAACAGAGATGTGATATTTCATATACACGGAGCACCTGCTGATGTCACTTGAAAGTCATGCTCACCCAGCTACAGCAGGGAATTTTGTATGTGTGTTCTCCGGCTTCTTCAGAGGAAAGGGCAAAACTTGATCGTATATGTGTGATAATCCAGAGAAGAAAACAGATGCTAAACAATCTCTGAAGCTATTTCCTCTCTATACAATGAAAAACTGCTGCATACAGAGTTACATACTATGCACCAGTGACTTAATGAAACACAATTGTATTATTTGGACACCTTTTTCTGACTTTGTAGAAAAGTTGTTCTCTCAGTTAATTTTTTTTTTTTTACCTGATACTAACCTAAGCAGTGCAATTGAAATGCCAACGCCTCACCTATCTAATGCAGACTTCCTGTTTCTATAGCAACAAAACTCATCCTTGTACTTAATGAAGGAATATTGGAGTGTGAGTAACTGGGACTCTAGGGCTTAGAAAAACAAACAGAACCACTTTATATTTGAAGATTAGGAAAATAAAACAGAAATGACCTCTTTGCACAGAACAAAAAATTCACCAAGGCTTGGGATATTTCATTAGTAAGAATGAAACCATATTGATGTCATAAGGAGCTCTCTGTTTCAATCTTGTTTTCCTAATTAAAATGTAAAAGCCCTTTATAGCAAGTAAGAGTCTTTCAGGTTTTTTTCCCCTCTTCCTTTTCCAAAGCTGCTGTGTTTGTGGTTAAGCTAATGAAAATTTGGGCTGCCTCGCAACAGATACATTTTTCCTTCTGTATTGGCAAAAATCCATTAATAGTTTTGACATTGGCTGAAAAAAAATGGAAAAACCTGCATATGGTGCTTAATCCTAGATTTCATCTACAAGCTAGTTCTTGGTCAGCTAGTTTAAATCTGAGTTAGTTATAAATGCTGAAGAAGCTACAGATCAGAGAGGGAATGAAGGAGCAGCTGTCATCTCTTCATATTGCCTTATAGATTTTCAATTACAGTTTTAACAACTGTTAAATTCTAATTTAAAACCACAATAGAAAACATCCCAAGGAAAAGCAACAATGCTGAGAGCAACAGATGTTTACAAGCCTATGTTTCTGTATCAGCATGCAGATAAGTACTATGCAACATTTGTGGCACGTTTATTGTGCTTAATTATTAATCTGTAGAAGTGAAAGTGGGCAAATGGGAAACATGAAATAGGAGCTTCTGTTGCAATTCTACTGGCAACAAAAAATTGTTTTAATATATTTCCCCAAGGCAGTCAAAAATTTTTTGCTATTTCTTCTGTGACTTTGTTTGTTTGTTTTAAAGCTGTGATTCTGACAAATTCATCTTAATTTCTGAGGACTAAATAAAAAGAAGCCAGGGCTTAAGGAAGCTTTTATCTACTTAACACGCTTGTCACAAGGCAGCTGAGACAACTGACAATTCCAGTGATGGTAGTAAATTGCCCCACAGCAAAAGGAAGGATGAAGGACAGGATAATGCAGATGGAAGGCTGGCTCGTTTGAAAGTTGATCAAGATTAGCTATTGTGATAGCAAAAAGCAAATCCAGAAACAACCCACTCAGCAAAATCCAGCTAGAAACTGGCTGAGTCATAGCATATTAAACTGTGGGCAGGTGGCATCCCGTAAGAGCTGGGCGGCTGTACCCTGCTGGGAGCTGCGCTCTTCTGCCTCCCAGCAAACTGATGGGAAGGGCATGCAGCATCTTAGAGAACTGCAAAAAGGCTCAACCCAAAATCTTTGGATTGTGTTTTACCCTACATTCCCTTTAAAAAAACCAAGTATCTTACAATTTCCCAAAATGCTTTTCTAGGCAGAGATGGAAGGAAAGCTGACAACAAGGATGCAGCAGGTCTGCAGGAGGTGCAGTAGGCATATGGAAGTTGTAATGTTAGTGCCATAGCCAGTTGCTAATGGGCTTCTCTACAGCTGCTGGAGTATCTGAAGCCTAAATACAAGAGGAAACAATATTTATACAATTGTACAGAACTTTGGCCAAAGGTCTTGAAGGATATTAACTACCTGAAAGTTTCCTAAAGAGATGCTCTGTGGCTGCTTTGCTAGCAGGGTGCTAACGCGTTCACATGTGCTTTCTGTTTCAGGGATAGAACTCTGTCCTCCTGGGCACCGGTTCATGATCACCATGGTGGCGAGCTTCATCGAAATGGCAGGGCAGTTCCTCATGCCAGGGCTGGCTGCCCTCTGCAAGGACTGGCAGGTCCTCCAGGCAGTCATCATCTGTTTTGCTGCTTTACTGGGTGTAAGTATCGCTTCTTCCTGTCGGGTCAAACACAACACGAGCTCCTAATGTTGGACTTGGGAGGTGCTTTGTTGTCAGGAAGTGTGTGTGCTTCACAATAAATATGAGCCTTTCCCTTTGTTCTTACATTCACCTTTTCCAAATGTTTGACTTTGAAATAAGATATAATAACTTTATAATTTGCTGTAGCACACACAGGGGTTACGTGCTGTGATGTGGTGGTAACTTGGGAGATGGTCCTCTTTTGCTGAGCAGCAAGTTGTACTTTGCCATTATTCTGGCTGTCACTTCCCCTTTAAAGATGCAAACAATTGGTGAGAGGATGCATCTCAGCCTAGCTGGTGTCAGGTAACACATATCAGCTTTTGAACAAGCACACTTGGATGTGGTGTGTGTGAGGTAGACTGCCTGCTCAATTTTGCCCCAATTAGTGCCCACTCTGCTGAAGCCTGAGTGGCCCGTCTGTGCTGGGCAGTGGCATGGGATCGTTCCCCCAAGGAATCCTCCCCTCCTGGCCACTCCCTCTCCTCTCTGTCTGCTGTGCCGGTGGCATTGTGGCATTGGTATGGATATCCTGAGAGAAGTAGGGTGGCTGTCACCTTGGGGATGGTGCCAGGTCCATCCCCACCAGGACTTTATAAACCTCCCCCAAAAACATCTTTCTTCATTGTTCTGTCTTAATAGTGACACGCAGTGGTGGCATAACACAACGAAGGCTTATGAGAGCAGTGTTGTACAAAACCATAACAGTAAGAACATGCTAGATTGTTTATTTTAAAGATAACACTAGCAAGACTAAAATATTTTAGTTGCTGTACACTGAAAGAAATGAGGAAAAAGGCCACCACACTGTGCAGGACCAAGTTGTTTATGTACCGTGGGGGGCCAAGCTGCTAGTTGTAATGCCTGACAAGTTGCAACATGAAAAACTTGTTACAGTATGTAAGAATTATTATCAGTTGTGTATTTTTCTATCAATGCATGAAGGCCCGCGACCTCATTGTGGTAACCCTCAGCAGGGATTTCTTCACTTATCCCCAAGCTCCCAGAGGTGGACATGCTGCAGCTTGGGCTGAGGGCAAAACGCAGCACACAGGGGAAAGTTACAAGTCCTTTGCAAGATAATGACACTTTCCCCCCCCTGTTTTCCAACACATAACATCTAAATAGTCTCATCTTGTCAGTGTTAACCTTGATGATGAATAAGCTAGAGTGTTCTTGTTAATAATGTGCAATGCTCTTCTCCCAAACCTGCCATATGTTATACATATACAAACACATGCAGGTCTACTCCAAAACCTCCTATTGGGATGCCTGCCAGCTGGAAAGCATTATATCCACAGCTGGATAGAACCCAATATCAAACATAATGTTTGCAAATATTTGGGTCCAAAAGGACAGTACAAAACTATGAAGACACCTAACGAATGTGATAGATGACATGGGCACCAGTAACCCCTTAGCAGTCTTCTGGAGGCAGCACATTTTCCAAGTGGCTGAGTCAGGGTCTTGTACACTCCTGTTGAGAGGTTGTCCCTGGGTGACATTGAAAGGGACAGGAAATGCTAACATTTATTTCCTAATCTGCAAGCGCTTGTGGCTTTTTGGCTGGACAGGATGGGCAGACTATGCAAACAGATTCCCCTTATATAATATGTGATATGAGAGCTTGATAAGTAGTGGTAATAGCCAGAGTAACAGGATTTGTGTTGCCTGAGGTTTTTGCATTTGCAGAAACGGATTGTGTTTAGGATGCCTGTTTAATTATGCTTTTCTCTTAGGCTTTTCTCTTCCATCTGTTGCATATTTTCTGGAAAGTGCTACCATTTTATTACCTCTTTCCTTTCCTCCCCTCTTCCCCCGGCATTGTGTTGGGGAATAGAGTGTGGACCCTCGGCATTTGTTACACATGAAGGAAGAAAACTAACTGATTTGTAATAAAAGAACTGAAAAACTGCACTGCTTGATAATTCCCCATTGTGTACTCTAAGCAGTGAGTTCAATAACAGATGCTGCAATAGCCCCTGTGCTGCCTCCTCCTCACTCTACTTCCCCCTCCTGCTGTGAGAGCTGGTTGCCCCTCCGTGCTGGGCCTTAGCCCTCTCCCACCTATAGATTTGTTCCTCTCCCAGCCATGTGCACATGGCTGTATCATCTCCAGGAGGCAGGCGGCTGAGCAGAGCCAGGAACTGGGCAGGGATGGAGGGTAAGTAGGAAGCAGATTTGTCTAGGAGGGATGGGCTGTTGGCTGGGACACCTGTAAATTGAGCAGATGCCTTTGCTCATTTCTCAGGTCACCCTGGAAGGGCAGAGAGGCACCCACGTAAGCCAGATGTGAGCACAGGGTTTGGTGACAAGGATATTAAAAAAAGTGAATTGTGTGTGTGTGTTAGAGCCATGAGGGAAGGGGAGCCCCAGTTATACGGAGGCATTATTTCCTCTCCCTTGGATGCAGGAACCTTCTGACAGGACCATGCCACGAAGGTCAGCAAAGGTATCAATAATCTGAAATAAACTCCTGCTTCACTCTTACCAAAACTGAAGAAGTGGGAAGGGGTGTCCAGTTCTCTTCTGGTGCTGTTAGATAGGATTTACCCTCACCAAGACACAAAGTTGTTCTTGTTGCCCTGCGGCAGACCCCTAACTTACACACTGCACCCTTTCCATGGGCATGGGTTTGCTCTGCATGTGGACAGGATCACAGTTCTGATTCCAGCTCTGTGTGGTACCTGCCTGGCCTTTTTCTATCTGTCATGGATTCTTCTCTGCTCTTAGGATTTCTCAGGCTTAGGATTTTTTTTCACAATGTCATTCCCACTCTTCCCCATTTCCTCTCCCAAGCAGCAGCTGTGTAACAGGAGATAAAAGTTTCCCACTACCCACCCCCCAAACCTCCTGTTCTTTTCTTCAGCTGCAAAAGGCTGGTCCTTTCCTCACTGATGGAGGAAGTAGAAGACTGTCAACCAGGTGTCTGCAGTCAGCTCAGCCTGGTGATCTGGGAGACTGCCCACCCTTGTCAGAAAGCTGTCTCAGCTTCACTTATATATATATAAAA